GGTCTGGTCGGGCTAAGGTTGGATGGGTTAACAACGTTAGAACAACAAAGTATAGATCCAGACTTAAAAATAGGAAGAGTATTTTTCTTAAGAAAATCGTGACAATATGCATGAAACACCCTAGTACGTAATGCGTATGTACATACGTACGTACGTACGTACGTTACTTCAATCACTTTATATAGAACAAAAAACGACCAGCGCATTGGATATAAACTAAATTAAGTAGCGCTTATTTTAACTTTCAGCAGTATGCATAAAACAGTTCTACTTAAGTGTATATTATTCTTGGCGTATTATTTCTATGCCCATCACTCTATTGAGATTAATAATTTAAGAAATTTATTTTCAATCGGCTACTAGTTTATGCATCACCTTAACATGGAAATTGAGGTTTTTAAATTTACTGCGTCGTATACTGTACAACAGATAGATACATATATTTGGGGTTTCAAATTTGATAATTTGGCAGATAAAATAAGCGATGTGTTTATTCGAATTGAACGATCTTTAAATTCTATTATTTTTAAAAAACGGTTTCATATTTCATCTTCGTTTATTTTCTGATTTCAGAAATTCAAAACATAACTGAAATTTTTTAAACTCTCACTTATTTTCAAAATAAGTTAATTTTGAAAAAACAAATCTGAGAATTGTCCGTGCATTTTCATTCTAATACACGGAACGATGGCTCAAAGTAAGGATGCAGCAGCTTATGATTATTTAGTGAGGATTTTGCTGCTTGGAGATTCAGGTTAGAATATAAATAAATTTAAACTATTAAATATATCTAATCATTGAACAGTCTTAGACCAAATTATTGCATCCACGTTTTTTGTAGGTGTTGGCATGTCAAATCTATTGCTTCGTTTCACAAATGATTCTTATGATCCATCTTGTCGCGCTACAATTGGGGTCGACTTTAAAATTCGAACAATTGAGCTGGATGGTTTACGAATAAAACTCCATATATGGGATACTCCCACTACACGTAAATTCTAATATTTTAATTCTCTTCAAAAACGTTAACTTGTATATTAATGTTTTATATTTGGTATGACATATTTTTGACACTATCGTGAAGCCTATTATCGTGGTGTTAATGGCATACTTTTGGTATATGATGTTACAAATGAATGGTCTTTTAACAGTATCCTTAATAGTATATTTATGGGAATTTTTCATTAAATTACTTTTACTATATATTATCATTTAACATCAAATTTCATGACTAATTAGATATAAGGAATTGGTTTTCGAATGTAGAACAACATGCTAATGAAGGAGTTAATAAAATCCTTATTGGAAATAAATGTGATTGGGTTGAAAAAAAGGTAATATAATAAAAAGCAATCAATTTCAACAAATTAAAAAAAATTCCTATCTCACAGGCGATTACCAAAGAACGAGGCCAAGAACTTGCAGATAAATTCAGAGTCATATTCTTCGAAACCAGTGCCAAAGAAAACATAAATGTTGAAGAAGCATTCTTTACATTGATCAGGTTTTATATACTGACAGAATGTTACCATTTATTATTTAAGTTTTTGGCCTGGTGATTTGCTAATATATTCATTTCTATTATGCTCGATCAAAGGGATATCAAAAAGCGGCTTATAGATCCACGAGAAGAATTTATTAGATATCAAAAGTCTGCTGAGGAAGGGAATGTTGAAGGCATATATGGTCGTGGTCGTTGCTATGAAGAAGGAATTGGCATTGAGAAAGACAAACAATACGCATA